AAAGCAGCTGCACCATTTTGCTTTCTCACCAGCAATGAATACAAGTGTCTGCTGGCTCCACATCCTTGTCAGCATTTGATGTTGTCAGTGTTCCGGATTTAGGCCACTCCGATCGGTGTGTAGTGGTACCTCATTGTTGTTTTCATTTGCATCTCCTTGGTGATACATGATGTGGAGCATCTTTTCATACGTTATTTGCCACCTTGCTCATCTTTGGTGAGGTGTTTATTATTATTATTATTTGTCCCCCCTCTTCTTTTTTGTTCCTCAGATGAACATTTTAAAACAATTAGAACAGGGACTTCCCTGGTGGTGCAGTGGTTAAGAATCCACCTGCCAATGCAGGGGACACGGGTTTGATTCCTGGTCCAGAAAGATCCCACATGCCACGGAGCAACTAATCCTGTGTGCCACAACTACTGAGCCTGCGCTCTAGAGCCCGTGAGCCACAACTAGTGAGCCTGCACACCTAGAGCCTGTGCTCCACAACAAGAGAAGCCTCCACAATGAGAAGCCCGTGCACCACACAGAAGAGTAGCCCCAGCTCGCCGCAACTAGAGAGAGCCCGTGTGCAGCAACGAAGACCCAACGCAGCAAAAAATAAATTAATTAATTAAAAAAAATTAAAACAGTTTTAGATTTATAGAAAAATATAGAAAATATAGAAAATAATATGGAGTTCCCAATATCCTGCATCTAGTTTCCCCTATTATTAATGTCTTACATTAGTTTAGCACATTTCTTACAACTCAAGACTCAGCCATAAAAAGAAACAAAATTGAGTTGTTTGTAGTGAGGTGGATGGACCTAGAGTCTGTCATACGAGTGAAGTAAGTCAGAAAGAGAAAAACAAATACAATATGCTAACACATATATATGGAATCTAAATAAATAAATAAATAAATGGTTCTGGAGAACCTAGTGGCAGGACAGGAATAAAGACACAGACGTAGAGAATGGACTTGAGGACACGGGGGGGGGGAAGGGTAAGCTGGGACGAATTGAGAGAGTGGCATGGACATATATACACTACCAAACGTAAAATAGATAGCTAGTGGGAAGCAGCCGCGTAGCACAGGGAGATCAGCTAGGTGCTTTGTGACCACATAGAGGGGTGGGATAGGGAGGGTGGGAGGGAGACACAAGAGGGAGGAGATATGGGGATATATGTATATCTATAGCTGATTCACTTTGTTATAAAGCAGAAATGAACACACCATTGTAAAGCAGTTATACTCCAATAAAGATGTTAAAAAAAGAACCAACAGTGGTATATTGTTATTGACTATAGTCTATATTTCGATTGCTTAGTGTTTAGCTAATGTCCTTTTTCTGCTCTAGGTCCCCAGTCAGGATACAAATGGCATCCAGTCCTCACACCTCCTTAGGCTCCTTTCCGCTGTGACAGTTTCTCAGACTTTGTTTTTTGTGGCCATGGAAGCTTTGAGGAATCGTGGTCAGGTAGCTTGTAGAATGTCCCTCCGCTGGGATTTGTCTGATGTTTTTGTCAGGACTAGATTGAAGCTATGTGTTCTGGGGAGGAAGAACACTCGTTTAGAAATGACAGTCCCATCACATCATATTAAACGTACACAGAGTCAACATGACTTATCACCTGGTTAGAGGTTAAGGTTAATCACCTGGGTGAGGTCGCATTTGTCAGGTTTCTCCCCCGAACTTACTGTTTTTCCCCCTTTCCGTCCCATGCTCTTTGGAAAGGTGTCACTGTGCACAGCTCACACCAAGCTGGGGGTGTGATGCTCCAGCAATTTGAGAGCAGAGGATCTATGCCAGTTATTTGGAATTCTGCACAGGAGATTCGTCTGTGCTCTACCATTTAGTTATTTACTCAATCAGCCATTTTATTTACATCTTTATGGACTCATGCGTTCTTATTTTATACTTTGGATTATAAGCCAGTACAATTTTATTTTATTGCTCAAGTCATCCTAGATTTGGCCATAGGGAGCTCTTTCAGTTGGCTCCTGTGTCTTTTTGACAAAGTCCCATCAGCTTTAAAAAAAAAAAAAAATCTTCCCTTATCTCACTTTAGGTGAGGATAACAACATTTGTTTCCACGAAGGAGGGTTTCTTAACCTGTGGGGCACATCCGGGAACCCTCAGCATTGCAAACTTTGTGGCCATTTTCTAAGGGAAGCACATAGCTTTCATCATATTCTCAGTGGTACCTGTAGTGCTAAAAAAGAGGTAAAGAATCACTGCCCTAGAGTAAAGAGGAGAAATAATACAACGTACACATTTCACACGCCTTGCTCTTTCCTCCCTCCACGGTGCTTGCTTTAGTTCACAGCCAGCAGGCAGCTCCCGCCTTGAGATGACCTGGCTAGTGCCCTGCCACACTCAGGTCTGCGAAGACCTGTGACCATGGTTGCTGCACTTATAACTGGAAAAACAAAACGGTCCTTTGACTCAGATTCCTGGTTTAAGGGAGGATGTGAAGCCAATATGCCCGCGCACACCAGCTTTGAAATGCAGCAGTGCTGTGTGGTCGCTAAAGGGTCATGGAAAATAAGTACATTCTGCAGTTAATGGAAAACTGAGCTTCCCTCTTTGGAGAGACATTTCTGGATTTTTCCTTTAGTGCTGGAAAACATTACATCATCCAGCTATACAGCCTGGTCCATTCCTTAGCATATTAGTCATGACATCAGTTCAAGTTTAGGTGAGTGAACAAAAGAGGCAGGCTGTAAAAAGGCTTTTGATATAAAAGACATTATTTTCTCTAGTCATTTGATGACTTTGCCTCAGTAGACTCAGTTATTGTCTTAAATTAATATCATATTTCCATGAAATCAATCCTGTTGTGTAATAATATCATAATCGTTGATAGATTTATTGAAAGAAAACACAATGGCCTCATCAGATGGATAAAACATTGGACTGAGATTCAGAATGTGAAATCTCTAATAACGAAATAGACATTGAGCATGGAACCTAATTAAAATCATTTAACTCTTCTTATTCCTGGTTATTTTGTATAAATACTAGCCACTTTCCAAATTATAAGGTTATGTATAGTAAAGTGCAAACACAGGAAAATGTGCTATATGCAAATTGTTTCAGCTCTCTTGAAGAAAGTGATGTAGCTATCTAGGCTTTTAAAATATATTTTAATGTGTGGAGATGACTTTAATGTTATTTTAGGATTGACCAAGCTGAAAAAGAATGATTTCTATTTTTTTATTTAGGTAGGAGAAACATCCCTGAATTCATCCATGAGAATATAAATACATGAGATTTCACTTAAATTTTAAAATGTCTTTGAATTTCTAATATAAAGAAAGGTGAAGTATTGATTAAAGACTCATATCAGGTTACCTGCAGCAGAGACATGAAAATATGTATTGACCAATGGTCAAAAAAGAAAAGAAATTGTTAATTGTCTTTATGTTGTCTGGTTCATTCTATTGCTTAGAAGAAATGTACTTGTGAAGGATTTTATATCGAGACATGATAATAGCAGTCCTTAATTGATCCAATTCAAGTGTAGTTTGTAATCCATCAATTCCGTTTTCCTCCCTTGAATGAGAAAACTTGTAGATGGGTTTGGACACTAATTTGCATCTTAATATCTAATTTTGCCACATAACCTCATTCTCTTGAGAATGAAATGGAAAATGAATGAATGGGAAAATCTCATTACTGGTCCCCAAATCCTGGAGAATGAATGGGAAAATCTCATTACTGGTCCCCAAATCCTGCAGCTAGGATATAGGAGCTGATAAGGTCTTGAGAAACAAATCTACTTAATCTCCTGCACCTTTGGGGGGCTTAACTAATTGGTTTTCATTTTTTTCTCCAATGTTTTGGATTCTTGCTGAGAGCTACTTGAAAAGGTTGTCTTATCAACTCACAGTAGTTTTAGATTTTTTCATGCGCTTCTTAATATCTGTCATATTTCACCTGTAGTGGTTGTGTCTTATCTTATCAGCACATTGTACGATAATTAACACAGAAGGGAATTGCCTGATAGGTCAGAGCTGGGATTTTAAAACAAAGCCAAGCACATGACATTTTTTGCTTCCTATAATGTCATTTATGAAATTGACACTTTTACCGTATCGGTACAGAATAGACAATGCTGGATGCTCCAAGTGTAGTTTTAATCTTCCCTGTGATTTTCATGAATATTATTTTTGGACTGGGAAAATGATTATATGATAAGACTTTACAGGTGGTAAATGAATCCAAACCAACAGTAAAGAACAACAGTTTCCATTGGCTTCCAAGGAAGCGTTTACGTGCTCCCAAGCAACTACCAGTCTAGTCAAGATTCATTGTTCAAAGTTGATTAAAATAGAAAAAATGGCATTTTTTCTCTTTTTGATAGTTGACAGCAAATATGTGCATGTAAAAGAAAAGGCAGCTGTATCTCAGAGCTCTGTATTTTCCCCTTTTAATTGGTCTGATATTTGAGGAACTGCTTTTACCAATCCCTGGTGTATTTTACTCCACGGAGAGCATTCCTTGTGTGTTTCTTGGACAATATCATTTATGGGTCAGCATGATTGTTTTGTGAATTCTTGGACCCTCTGGCCGTATCATCCTGTAGTATTCACATACTCCTTTGCTTAGGTGGAAGGTTAATATTATATATATTATTCAAAAACTATTTTTTGCTCTTGTTTCCTTGTCTGCCATTCTTTTGTGCTTGTCTAGATTTTGATTGCATGTTGCTTCAGGACAAGTGAGAGGTCTGCTTAATTTTATTTAAAGAAAGTAACATGAAGTATTTAGGGCAGTGTTTCATGCATTTGGTAAAATTAAACGCTAAAATACTTTTTGTGTTTGTTTTTATTTTTTATGACAAATACTTTTTGGGATTCTGATAAGCCTACTACTTTTCACCTCTATTTGGAAAAGCCATGCTGCAAATTTATCTCAAAAAGCGAAGTCTTTTCTCCAATGAACATCACGCATTCCTGTTGCTTGCTATTCTAAATACTTACCAGGGCTTTGTTTTGATTTTTCTCGTATAGGCAGCAGTCAGCCGAGGACCTTGCCCGAGTACCGGCCAACTCCACTAGCAATATCTTGAATAGGCTATTGGTCAGTTATGATCCCAGGATAAGACCAAATTTCAAAGGTTGGTCTCCCTCCACCCCAATATCTCCATTCTTTGCAGTTTAAAAACTAATTTTATCTGTATAAAATCATTTATTTGTTTTATTCAAAACAGTATATTTTAAATTGACATCTAACTGTCATGTAATGTGCTTAAGTCAGAGCAATCTAATGCAAAGATGTTTAAAGATAAGCAGAGTATTAGTGCTAATAGGCTTATATAGTTCCCAGTTAAAAACAAAAAATATGTGTTGTGAATTAATAGGCTAACCGATCTGATGGGCTTTCTAAGTACTTTGTATTCTTAACCTTAATAATTTAAAATTTAGGCTCTGACTTTCATTCAGACACCAAAGTTCTACTTTGTAGGAGAATGGCCATATACTCATTTGAGGATAGAGAACGCTCTGATAGACATTTAAATTCTTTTTTTTAATCTTCATTAGGTTTTTACATTGATTAAAAAAATTCCCTCTACTCTTTAGCTGAAAAAAATGGCCATATGGTTTTTAAAAGCGTGTTAACTTTGTGAATAAAATGACTATGTTTTCTTCAAGAAAACATTATCTCCTATCATTCCTTTCAAGAACCAAAACTGTACTTGAGCTAAAAGTTGTGGGAAGATGGTACAGCTTGCCTCCCTCCCTCCCTCCCTCCCTCCCTCCCTTCCTTTCTTTCTTTCTTTCTTTCTTCCTCTCTCTCTTCCTCTCTTGCTTCCTCTTGATGAGTTAGGAAAAGTTATATGAACATATCTCTGGAAAACTGTCATCTTTGTTGCTGGTTAAGGACAGGTATTAATGTAGATTGGATTAACATTATAAGGCTTGATTATTTTTCCTTTATGGAAAAAAGAAAGAAAGAAAGGAAGAAGGAAGGAAGGAAGGACAGAAAGAAAGAAAGAAAGAAAGAAAGGAAGGAAGGAAGAAGGAAAGAAAGAAAGAAAGAAAGAAAAGAAAGAAAGAAAAGCTTGCAGCTGCTTCTAGTCAAGTGAAGTTATACGACTCTGTTATAAAAACAGGGTTTTTGTTCATTACCAGAACCTGCGGTTACTTTCAGCAGCACTGTGCTCTGGGTTGTCACATGTCTACCCTGTATCGATTCAACACCTGTTTTTCATCAGTCAGAGGTTATGTGGCTAAAAGGCTAAATTCACATTTTCCCTTTGTTAGCCCAAGCAGCGGTTCACAATGAGTAAAAAAAAAAAAAAGAAACAGAAAGAAATTGGCAACATTATACTTAGTTCTCACTCTATGAACTTTAAAATGATTTTCCAGCAGGTCAGGCAAAAATCTTAATAATGATTCTGTTATATGTCTGATTAACTTTGCATTTTCATGAGTTAAAAATCAAAATATAGCAGTTGTAATTGGATTCTGCATTACCATTTAAGGTGACAATTTAAAATGATTATAAAATGCAAAAAAAAACCCATATTTTAAAAATGATGTTTTTTAAAGAATAATTTACAATCTCTTAAAGTAAACGCATCAGCCCAATTAAAAAACAATTTAAGGTAAATGTATTTTCCCAGAATTTCTACAATTTAAGAGAGAAATATTTCTGAATAAATAATGCTATAAAGTACAAGGTAACTCATTTTTTATTTGTGTGTTGATCCCTATTTAGAAAAATAAGTCAATAGCAACTGTGAACATGGTATCCTGAAACCATAGGTTTATAATTTTACATCCATACGGATTGGAAAAAATAGAAAAATCAAATGCATAAACTATAAAAAGTGAAGATTCTGACCAAGTTTTTTACAGCTACTAAATATATCCTTAATTTTTATTGACAGGCATTCCTGTTGATGTAGTTGTCAACATTTTTATCAACAGTTTTGGATCTATTCAAGAGACAACAATGGTAAGATTACAACTAATTTAATATTTTTAATTGAGAAGATTTTAACTAGAGGATAGTGGAAGAAATTATAACTGAAGAATAAGGAGTAACTCTCAGGGAAAAAAATGCAATCTGTCTCCTAGTATAAAATATTCAAATTTCAGGGTTTTGTTGAATCAGTGATTTCAATGGCTTTGTGATTTTGCAATTCAAATTTAGTCTTTATATTGCATTGAAACTTACAGACTTGGGAGAATTAAGGTACTCACTCTGAACGGCTAATTGGATACCACCTGGGAAAAGGATTTATGCAATTAATATTCTGGAGTGACATTTTTTTCCTAATATGCTTATGTGTAGAAGCATTCAAAAATATTTAAGTGTTCATAGTTTTTTTTTTTTTCCTTCCAATTTCCTGAGAAGAATCTTTGTTTTTTCTCTTGTGCTAATTTTGTGATGTGTGGAGCAGAGAATAGTAAAAAGCAAATTTGATTTTCCTAAACTAGAGCAGCGGAGCTCCCTGAAAAGATTATGCGACACAAAGAAAGGGCAAGGAGACGGCCAGGAAGAGAAAGGAGGGACAGAAAAGAGCGAAAGGAACAGAGAAGGGAGGCTTGAGGTGGGGCTGCCATCCAGGGTGAGTTGGGCGTTAGGGGCAAAGATGTCTGTGGAGGGTGATTAGTAGATGCCCTGAGCCATGTGTGATGCAATTACCCCTCAGCTTTTAGAAGACATTCAGTACAGTCCACTTGCTTATTAATGTTTTAACATATTAGATTTGTACCCTTTTTGAAAAACCATATGCTGAAATGATACTTTAGGTGGGAGAAAGAAAGCTTAATGTTTTTTTTTTTTTGGTATCTTTTTTCTTGAGATACTTATATTTTTCTTAAGGAATAATATAAGGTTTGGATTAAAAGCCTAATAGCAATGGTTAGAACACAGTAGAGTTTTTCAGGGAATACCTCAGACCAGAGAAAGAATGATTTTAAATATGTTTTCCTTTATTCCTAGGAGCAGCAGAGTATGTTACAAAAGCAATTGTATATTGCATTTAAATTATGACACCTGTTTTTATATTAATTAATATAAGAATATAATATATTAATTGTGAGGAGAATGTTATTTATTTTTTATAGAACCATGTCTTTAGCCCTGAGTACTTGATTTTTTTTAGACAGTGTGTAGATATTTTGGATAATTAAAGATTTTGAAATCAAGTCCAAAATTCACTTGCAGTGACTTTAGTTCACCTAAATGGCTGTATGTCTAATATAGTATAGATCAGTAGAAGATAGCACTGAAATAAAGGACGGACAACCATATATCACTCAGGAGACAAGGCTAGCCCTCATCATTTGAAAATATGACTAGTTTATCTAAGCACTTCACTTAACAAGAGTGAGAAATTTCATTTTCTCAAGGTGAAACTTTCAGGGGATCTCTTTGGTCTCTATACTCTTCCCTGTACCCTGTTTTATCTTTCATGGCACCATTACGCTAATCCCGAAACACCACCATCGAGGTGTTTCAGCCTGTGGGAAACATTCCCAACTCTATCTTGCATTTTAGGACAACTAATGCAGGGATGTTTTTTCTCATCTGCATGAAGGCTACATATGTGTCCCAACTCAGGCAGTACCATTAATGTATCTGTTCTTTAATGAGCATTGAATGCCTCCCAGACATCAGATTCTACACTTCTCTAGGTCCCATCAGTGGTTACTTAATTGTGTCAAGCTGAAAACATGTGGGGGACACAGAAAAGGAGTAAGAACTTTCTTACAGGCTCTTTGAGGATTATAACAAAATACTGCGTAATTTCTCACATAATCGTCTCTTGTCCTCCTGCCTGCTCTTCACAGTAGCGAGCCCAAAGCACCCGTTGCTGGGACCAGATCCCACCAGTTTTCAGCAGCGTCTTTGTCGCCGCTACTTGCCTCGAACCTCCATCTCTCGTCTGTAATCAGGGCCTCTTACTCTGAGCTACTCCCACTCGCCCTGTGCCCCCTTTTCCATCCAGGTCTTTCAGCTCTATCACGTTTGTTTGTTAAACCAGATCGCTTCTTGACTGTAATGCAACTATTTTTGTGTCTTTTCCTTTTGTTCTCTGATGGACTATTAACTCCTTAAGTCAGGAAGAATGTATTCAACTTCTTCATTTCCTGTAAAGTGAGGAGACAATAGGCCCTCAGTTAGTGAACACATAAATAATGTCATATTATTAACTAATACCGGTTAAATAAATGAACAAATAAATTCTATTTGTCTAGCAAAAAGTGAGTCCACGTAGCCATAAAAAAATTGGCAAGCAAATTTAAACAATAGACTCATGTTGAACATTTATAGGGTTAATAAACAGAGCAGGGCTTCCCTGGTGGCGCAGTGGTTGAGAGTCCGCCTGCCGATGCAGAGGACACGGGTTCGTGCCTCGGTCCGGGAAGATACCACATGCCGCGGAGCGGCTGGGCCCGTGAGCCATGGCCGCTGAGCCTGCGCGTCCGGAGCCTGTTGCCCCGAAAAGGGAGAGGCAAAAAAAGAGAAAGGAACGAAAACCAAAAAAAAAAAAAAAAAAAAAAAAAAAAAGAGCAAATAATGTTATAATAGTAGAGGGTTAGTTTTAGAGACCTTTATGCAGAGGAACCAAATTATTTATATTTACTGTTTCTTTTGATGAAATAACCTGGCTTTCCCTTGTGTTGTGAAGATACAGCCCAAAGGTTCAGAATTGGAACCATACTCATCAAATAGACTGAAGTGTTCCATTTTATCATAAGTATTATTTTTTGCTTTTGCAGTGTTTATTTCATGCATACCTATAAGACAGAGTTTTATAGATGTGTGTTTCAAGGCTGTCATATTTTATAGATTTACTCAGTCTTTCCAAAAACAGATGCCCTAATACCTTGTTGCTTAATAGTTAGGAAAGGTACAAACTATTCTCGATATAGAGATAACATTAGGATGTCTTCTAAGGGAAAAAAGTGTTATCTAAGACAAGCTTGCTCTTCATTACTTGTTGTAGACACCAGTCAGAAATAATAGTGATGACTCAGCAGGGTAACTAAGAGGGTCCACGTGTGGAGAGCAGTTATTTCTTTCTTTTTCCTTCCAATCACCCAGGGTGGGCTTTTTTTTTTTTCAGCTTCATTGAGGTATAACTGACAGATGAAATTGTAAGAAATTTAAAGTGTATGTGATGATTTGATATGCCTCTATATTGTGAAAGGATTTCCCCCATCAACTTAATTAGCACATCCACATTTATCTCTTTTTTTTTTGATGAGAACATTTAAGTTCTATTCCTTTAGCAAATTTCAATTACACAATTGTGTTATCAACTACAGTCACCATGTTACACATTAGATCCTCAGACCTTATTCATCTTACAACCTAAAGTTTATACGTTTTACCAACCTCTCCCTATTTCCCATACCCCGAAATTCCTGGCAATCACTCTCCTACTCTCTGATTCTATGAATTCAACGTTGTTTTAAGACCCGACATATAAGTGATACCATGGAGTAATTGTCCTTTTCTGTCTGGCTTATTTTACGTAGCATAATGGTCTCCAGGTTCATCCATATTATTGTAAATGACAGTATTTCCTTCTTTTTTCAGACTCAATGATATTCCACTATATATGTATATACATACCACATTTTCCTCATTCATTCCTCCATTGATGGGCACTTACGTTGTTTCCATGCCTTGGCTATTGTAAACAATGCTGTAGTGAACATGGAAATACAAGCGTCGCTTCTAGATATCTTGTTTCCTTTGGGTATAGATCCAGAGGTGGGATTGCTGGATATGGTAGTTCTATTTTTAATTTCCTGAGGACTCTCCATACTGTTTTCCATAGTAGCTGTACCAGTTTGCATTCCCACTAATAGTGTACAATTGTTCCCCTTTCTCTACATTCTAACCAGAATTTATCTCTTGTCTTTTAAAAAAAAATTTATTGAAGTATAGTTGATTTACAATGTTGTGTTAGATCTCTTGGCTTTTTGAAAATAACCGGATAGCATATTTCTTAAAAACAAAAGAAAACAAACAAAAAGACGCCTCCAAAAAAAAGAGGTTGGAAAAGCAGAGAGCCTTAGATTTGTCTAAATATAAGATATATGTTCATAGAGACAGTATGATGAATAGTGTGTAGGCTGTGATACCAGACAGGCTTGTGCTGGAATCTGTTGTGTACTTGATGTGTTACACCCTAAAAAGAGCGAAAAAACTATAGAAATAAAGCAACAGCATTTTGCCTGGCATAGTAACTCTTAGGAGTGGTTCACTGTTTGGTTGTCATGCATTTGCAAATTAACGTACTGTCAGGATAGAATCTTATCCTAAAGAAAATGAACCGTTTATGTTTGTTAGCAGCTTCATTGTACAGTTATGGTTTTGTTTATGAATAACCCCCTGGGAAATTCCCCTACAAAGATCTGCTGAAATAAAGGAAGCCCTAAAATTTGGAAGCTTCAGTGTTGCCCAGAGCTTTCCTCTGCAGCTCAGATCTTTCTACTTTAACCGGCAGTTGCTTACTCCAGAAAACATAATGTAGAACACAGAGCTTCGGGTGGGCGTAGCGTGAGGAACTGCAGACAGAGGTGGGGCAACTTCTGAAGGAGGAGGGCAGCCCTTTCCTCCAGTGTATGAAGTTCATTACCAAACAAAGAAGCCATCGAGGTGGTGCACATTAACACTGCTGTAAGGACATTTTAGCCAATTCTGTTTGGAAAACATGCCTTCCTGCTTATTTGTCTTCTAATTCAGAGGCTATTTTTTTTTTAACACCTTTCTTGGAGTATAATTGCTTTACAGTAGTGTGTTGGTTTCTGCTTTATAACAAAGTGAATCAGTTATACATATACATATGTTCCCATATCTCTTCCCTCTTGCGTCTCCCTCCCTCCCCCCCTCCCTACCCCACCCCTCTAGGTGGTCACAAAGCACCCAGCTGATCTCCCTGTGCTACGCGGCTGCTTCCCACTAGCTATCTGTTTTACATTTGGTAGTGT